TGTATTCATCCCATCAGTTCTGCTCCTCTGGAGAACCCTGACTAATAAAGCTACATCATAAAAGGATGGAGACTTAGGACATGCTGGCTCAGGAAAGGGGACTAGGGATGGGGACATTGATGGGCACAGGAAACGAAAGGATAGGTGGATAAGAAAATGAAACAAAGGCCCACGGGACATTCGGGGGTTGTGTGGTGCCCACGTGGATAACTGCATCCGTGGAAAGCCTGAGAAAGCTTGGGAAAGAATAAAGCATGTTTTCTTGGTAGCAACAATTTCTCGGGTCTGCTCTGCTTGCTAGAGGCAATCAAGCACTCTCATCTAAGAGACACTTCCTGACTCAGCTTTAGCTGCAAAACCTTGCAGCCCTTTAAAGAGGTCCTGCCAAGAAACACTTAAATAGTGTTGATAAAAATCTGACTGCATGCTTTTCGGTTTTCAGCCGTAGCAGGAAAAAAGCTGCGCCGTTTTAAAATGCCAGCTTTCTGGGCTGTCCTGCCAGGGCAAACTCTGACTCTTTCAAGCAGGCAGTCCTGACTACAGAGCTTTTCAGTGTTGTTTAACACTGTTGCAGCTTGCTTGCTGGCAAGGACCTTGAAATGCCATAGTGTGGGCCCCTGGTTTCCCTTATTCCTGGGGTGCATTGGCGGGACAGTTTGTTATCAGTTAACTAAACTTCCTGTGTGTTTCCCAGCTATCCCTGCCCCACCTGGTGATTTAGCTGCAGGCAATCTTCTCCATTGTTAATATGGTAATTTCCCACCTCCCTGGGCGGAGAGATCTTTGCGCTGCAGTTAGGTAGAAAAAGGCTTCCCCAAGTCTGAATAAACTGCATTCGCTTGATCTCCTATCGAATGACCCTGGTCTCTGTATCTTGTGTTCAATCTCCAGGCCCTTGCCCGGAGATTCAGTACAGCTGCATGCGAACTGTACTGAGGGTGTAACACCGAAATCGGGTGTTACACCATAGAGTTGTGGCAATAAAACGTGGCTACAGTCAGTACCCCAGCCATGAGGCTGAAATCTTGAAAAGCTAAGGAATGGGCTGGATCTAGCCTTAAAAGCCATGGCTTTAATCCTCTCCTTAAAGACTCACATAGTCAGAAAAAGAGAGATATACAGTAAAGAGAAATCCAAATGGGAGAAAAACCACTTCTAAATGTTTTACAGTGTGTTAAAAATATATACAGGCGTAAAAGAAAAAAAGGTTAGAGTTCTTAAAAAAGAAAGAAAGAGAGTAGTTGGGTGTGGTGGTACACACCTTTAATCCCAACACTTGGGGAAGCAGAGGTAGATTGACCTCTGTGAGTTCAAGGTGTGATAGCACACGCCTTATAATCCCAAAGCTTGGGAGGCAGAGGCAGACACACCTCTGTAAACTCAAGATGTAGTGGCAGACACCTTTAATCCCAGCACTGGGGAAGCAGAGACAGATGGATCTCTGAGTTCAAGGATAGCCTGGTCTACAGAGGGAATTCCAGGACAAAGATACACAGAGAAACTGTCTCAAAAAGCCAAAAGTTCAAAGTAAAAATAAAAGAAATAGAGGTTAAAGTAAAGCCACGTAAAGATGGAAAATACACAGAGAGTTTGGATACTGTATGCTATTATGCTCTCTTTGAATTGTTTGAATCCTGAGGAAGGAGCAACAGCTGCTAAAAAGATATTTGCTTATAAATGCTGCTGAATTAATCCAAGATAGGTATTTTGAAAATACCTTGGCTTCAAAATTGAAGTCAAAAGGTATGTTACTTTGGAGAAGAGGATTTGCTTTTGTTTCCACAGAAAATGAGAGGCTGTGGGTTTATTCTGAGATAAGAAAAATCTAGTTTGATCAAGGAGGACCAATTGAGAAATCTCCGGTAGGAACAGATGGCCCAGATGTCTGAGTTCTACATCCAGAACAGATTCAAGACTGCTGCCTGAGATGATCAAGACTCACAGGATACTTCAGTCAGGACTTAAATATAACTCTAAATTTTCTTTAGATCCCCATAAGATTATCAGCGCCCCCAACCAGCAGGAAGTAGCCTGGAAAACTACACCCACATTCCCAGCACCCACATGGCAGCTAGAAACTTTAACTCCAGTTTTAGGGTATCTGCTAGCCACTTCCAGTCACCTCAGGTGCTGCACACACTCAGTGATGGACATGCTTAGGCATACATGCTGGCAACATACCCACACACATAAAATTAAACTGAAAACAGACAATGAAATTCAAACCTAGAACTTGAACTTTACAAGGCACTTTACAGTTTGTAGAGCATTTACATGACTTCATAGTGTCACCTCGGGAAATAGAGATGACTCACAAACCCAGAAAATTGCTGAGATTACCTCATCCTGATTATTGACCCCCCAGAGATGTCCATCCTAAGCCCCAGCATCCGTGACCTTACATGACAAAGGGAGAGATGTCCATCTTAAGCCCCAGCATGTGAGCATGTGACTTTACATGACAATGGGATTTTCAGATGGACTAAGTTCCAAGATGGGGGGCTGACCCTGTATACCTGGGAAGGCCAGAATGATCTTAGGGGCCACATGAGTAGCAGGAGGGCCAGAGAAAGTGATGCAATGACAGAAGCAGAAAGGCAGAATGGTTAGGTGGGGTGGAAGAGAGAACAATGCCACAGTCTGAATCCATTCCTGAATGCAAGTAGCTTCTATGAGCTGCAAAAGTCAAATTTTCCTGGAGAGCCTACCACGGGAGCCTGTCCTGCAGGCTCCTGACTCTGACCCCAGCGACACTGACCTTGGACTTCTGACCTTCAGACTGATGACACTGTGAATCCCTGGTCATTTGTTTCTACAGCAATAGGAACGCACACAATCGCAACCCTGCTGCAGCCTCCTAGCCTGAAGCAGACACTGTGACATTTTTAAAAGATTCTATCCTAAACCTCAATCTCTCCTTTTATTAAAAACTAAAACAGGGCTACCTCACCTGATCCTGCTTCTCAGACAAGTACAGACTGAGGAGTGCTTGTTTGGTTGAAGTTTCTCATGGGGCACTGACCAGGGATGGGGTGGAGTCATTACCCCGTTTGTCCAGTGAACAAAGTAAGAGTTGGAGAGTAGAGACCTAGAGCCACACAGACAATGACGGAGGAACTTGTAGGCAGAAACTGCTTTTTTGTTTCCTGACTTCTCAGACCCAAATAATCACACAGAAACTATATTAATTACAACACTATTTGGCCAATAGCTTAGGTGTCTTTCTAGCTAGCGCTTATATCTTAAATTAACCCATTTCTATTATTATATATTTTACCATGAGGCTCGTGATTTGTTACCTCTTGTTTCTTGGGCAGCTACATGACGTCTCTCTGACTCCACCTACTTTCTATTTCTCTGTTTGGATTTCCTGCCTGACTTTGCTCTGCTAAGCCATTGGCCAAAATGACTTTATTCATTAACTAATGGTAATAAAACATTCACAGCATACAGAGGGGAATATTCCCACATCATTTCCCTTTTTCTGTCTAAATAAAAAGGAAAGTTAACTTTAACATAGTAAAATAATATATATACAAAACAGTTATCAAGCAAGAATTATAATTACAATAGTTAGTGTATTTACAATTGGCAAATTAAGGAAAATGCTCTATTATCTATCCTATCTTTGTAAATCTAAAGTTTTATATCTAATTTATCTTTTATCATAACTAAGAAAAACTATAACTATCTGTCTCCAACTCTTCAAAGACCCCAGAAGAACATGTTACTTAAGTAAAGAGGAAGTACATTGTAAGAACTTCCAAAACCCTAGAATTAACAGAGACATCTCACTGCCTGGACAGTCAGGAACTCAGAATCCTCCTGCGTCAGCCTCCTGATTACAAGTGTAAGCCACCACGCCCAGCCCTATCATCTACTCTGAAGCATTTGCTAGGCTTATTGTATTCCCAGTGCTAAACTGAGCATGGGCTGGGAACCTACTTCAGTTCTTGAGAAGCCTGCAGCCTAAAGGACAGAAACACAGACTCATGGTTCCCAACAGCCAGATAAATGCTAAGACAAAGAGCAGGAAGCTTAAAGGGCTATGGGAACTCAAAGGAGAGATGTTGATGGAGCCTAGAACCGGGGAAGGCATCTAAGAAGAGGTGACAATTGCACAAGAGACTAGAGGACTCAGCACAGAAGTCTGGCCCTAGAGTTTCCCATGGAAGGGAAGGTTCCCTAGAGACAGGATGCTGTAGACCCTCCCCAGCCGGGACAGGGAAATGACATGACACCAAACTACAAAAGGGTCTTTATTTATAAAAAGCCAAAGGGGCCCTGGGAGCAACAGCACAGGAGGTAGGCAGCTTCTCAGGGGTCAGGGGCATTTGGACAGATGCGCTTGAGTGGGGGGGCGCCCTCCGAGTCCTCTGTGTCACCCTGGGCTGCCTCAGGGACAGGTGGCACTGGCTCAAAGACAGGGTAAGCTTCGGGGGCCTGAAGAGGAAGGGCGGACAGGTGTGAGCTCCACTCTAACCCAGAAGTACAGTCTCCTAACCTCAGCCTTTTCCTCTCTATTCCCCTGGGGACCCAGAGTCTGGCCCAGGACCAAGTGACCAAAAATGATGGCAACGCTGTTTGGGGGAAAGAATTTGATTTTTTTCTGGGAAGGGAATCAGGTAGTCCTTGTAGGGAAAAGCAAACCTGACAGCTCAGGACGTGTGTCTGTGTGATGTGGGGGCCCAGGCTCTCCGTGCACACTTAGAAGGTGAAGCAGCGCCAAGCTGCACCCTGAGCCTAGATTTTTGGTTTTTAATCTGTGGAGGAACACCAAGTTCATCGCAGGCTTCCAGAGCTCTTAAATCAGCCATGATTCAGCTCTCAGGATGGTGTCTCTAAAACACTCCTCTTTTTACCCAAGAATTCAACCTCAGCTAAGACTTTCAGTGGGTTCTAGGTCCATATCTCCCTCCTGGACCCTAGAATGCAGACTCCCTGTGCCCCCAGAACCCCATCCCCCACCAGGTCAAAGTCCAGTCTCTGGCCTCGCTCACCTCAGCTTCCAGCAATTCTGGAACAGGCTCCTCCTTGGTCAGCTTCGGGGGGTCATCAGTACCGCCTGCAGGTGTGTCCCCTGGGTCTGGAATGCCAAATGAACAGACACCTTCTGAGCAGCGGCTCTGTGCCAGGATAACAGACCAGACCGGGGGCAGAAGAAACGAGCAGGTACCAATCACACAACACAACACTGTGGGAGCCAGAGGAGGGCACCAAGATGCCAAGAGGGGGGAGATTCAGGTTGGGTTTTGTTATAGTTGGGAGTGAGCCAGGAGACAAGCAGAGAGAGGGAACAGAATTTAGGCAGAGGGAAATACATGCTTGGTGACCACAGATTCTATGTTGTACTAAACCCACATCCTGACCTTAGGCAAGCTATTTCTCTGAACCTCAATGGAATCATCTGCAGAATGGGAACAGTGACAGTAATACAAGAGACTGCAGTGAGGGTCATAGTATGTGCTCAGTAAGTGCTAGCTAGAATCTTCATTCATGCATTCATTCATTCACCCACTCATTGTGGGAATAGAAATGGGGCTCGGGGCCTCAGCCATGCCAGACAAGCTCTCTGCTATGGAGCTGTATTCTCTACCCTGTCATCTTACATGAACAGAGGTTTCTGGAACAATCTACACACGGTCCTGAGACCCAACCATGTCATGGTGTTCGTGGTGGGGGAACAGTTCCTGTGGCCACAGTTTGTTAAGGCCCCAGAGTCCAACTAAAGAACCAGAGGCCCGGCGGAGCCACTGAAGGATCTGAAGCAGGAAAAGAATCTCTTGGAATCTGTGCTTTAGGAAAAGCCGTTCTGCAGCTGCGTGGCAGCCACTAGGGACAGGGATGGAGGCCAGAGCAGGCACAAGTGAGCAATGAGAAGATAGGACCAGAGACCAGAGACCAGAGACCAGGGTGTTGGCTCACTGGCTCTGTAAGTCTGGATGATGGGCTCCTCGTGTATAAAGAGGAATCATAATAGGATCATCGCTCCCAGAAAGTAACAGTGGAGATGAAATGAGAATCCGAAAAGCAAGCGTTGACGTGCACAGAACACCTAGCAGGGAAGGGGCTTTGTTAGCCGGTACTCTACTGCTACTAATCGCTCTGATTGTCAGAGTTATTTATACCCCGAACAGAATAAGTATTTACTGAACATCTACTATGTATCCCGTGGTGCTCTGATGTCACAGGAATGGACAACATCAGTATGGCACGAGATAACAGGAAAGAAATAAATCTGCATAAAAATTGCAGATGGTGATACGCTGCCTACAAAGACGGACTCAGCCAGAGGATTGGACAGCAGCTGGATGTAATTTCTGCCAGGGACAGGAGAGGTTCCCCCCCACCCTCAGGGGGAGCAGGACGGGGAGAGAGGACATTGACATAGGTACAAAAACAAGATGGTGGGTTCAACTTTGGAGAAGGGAGGGCTCCTAAGAGCCACCTGGTCCTACCTCTCTCTTGGCCCAGCTGTGGGGGCTGAGTATCCTCTGCAATCGCTTCTGGGGGTCCAGTGGGTGACCCAGGGCGGCTGGGCTGGGGAGTCCCCCCAGGGCTGGGCTCTGTGCCTTTCTGCAGTGAACCTTCTGAATGGAAACTCTGGTTGCTGTTCTCATCTGCGGAAGCAAAAGCCAAGTTGGTTGGCCAGAGGGCCTCCCAGTAGCTTCCTTCCCTCCTCATTCCAGAATCTGCACATACCGTTGAGATCCAGCAGGATGAGGGGGCCACCCGCCCTGGGACTGGTGCCCCTGCCGCGTCTCTCCCGGCCACGGGATCGCTCTGCCCCGCCTCCTGCCCGCCGCCGCTCCTGAGGGTTAGAGGGGTAAGGTCAGAGCCAGCTATCTGGTAAGCACTTACAAATCCCCTCAATACAAATAAAGAAACCTAGCCTTAGAGAAGCAAGAGGCGCTGTCTCAGCTGTCTCAGGCTGAGTTAGGTCTTGAACTTGGAGAGGGTGGGGGCATTGGTGTGTGTGTGTGTGTGCATGCGCGCGCTAATCGTTACCATCTGCCTGAGCTCCACACTGGAGTCTCCAAGCCAACTGAAGGTAGAGGCCAAGGTGGGGATGGAAATTGTCTGAGGTTGCACAGACGCAAGGCTTGTTGGGGGTTGGGCTTGCTCACCTCCTCCTGGGGATCCACCACAGGCACCCACTTGAAGATTCGAAGGGAAGTGTCACCCACAGTCACCCAGCGCTTCTCCCTGTGGGAGGGCAGGAGACTGGGTTAGCGAGAACCCCATAGAGCAGGGGGTCAGGGAGATGTGCTAGGGTAAGGGAAGCTTCACAGAAGCAGAAAGAGCCCTGTAAAGACCAGAGCATAGACGGATATAACTTGGAGCTGCGGTTTTGCAGACACCTGGGGCACTCAGCAGGGCGCCACCAAGGCCTGGCAAGGGACTCTGGCAATGAAGACCCGGGGCCGAGCTTGCAAGAGTGTCAAAGCTTCAGGGGGCGGGGCATATAGATGAGGGCTCCCGCTCTGGGAAAGCACCACTCCGGACCACGCTTTGTAGACCTCTGGGAATTGCCGGGGAGAGGGGGGGGCAGGCGATTCTGAGCACAGCTGGTGGGCGGGGGCAGCTGGCCAGGAAAAGGCGGACGCGTTTGGAGGAGGTGGCTCGGCTGTGTCCCTGGCCCAGGGGCAGCGCTCACCATCTCCGGACCTTCTCGATGGTCGCCATCACCTTCTTGATGTCATCTTTGGCCCGGCTCCGGGTCTCGGCCCGCACGGTCCGGCCGGCCATGCTGGCGGGGCTGGGGCCGGGATTGAGCCCGTGGTGGGACGGCCTGCGGTCCGGCGATCTCAGGCTGTGCGCCAGGCCCCGGCGCCGCTCTTTCGGCCTGCCGGCCCTCCGGGAGTTGGCCGCGCCCTCCCTCGCTCCCCAACGCCTCCGCGCGTCCCCGCCTGGCTTCCTGCGACCGCGCCCCGCCCCGGCCCGTCCCCGGAGCGGCCCGGGCGGCGCGGGCGGCTAGAGCCCCGGCCTGGAAGCCCGGCCAGCCCCGCCCCGGCCCGGGCCCGCCCCTCGGGGCGCACGAACGCACAGCGCCCTCTGCCAGCCGCAGAGAGGGAGAGCCGGGGGGCAGCTGTGCGGCTGGACGCGCGCGGCCCGAGCGAGGCGGTGCGTTCCGGCCACGTGGGCACAGGGGTGCGCGAGAGGGACTGTCCTGGTGTGCGTCCGCGGCGGGTGGGCGTCCCTGAAATGCTGTGTGCGCGCGCGTCTGCCCTCTCCAGGCTGCTGGAATCTACGCTGCCCAACTTCACTTGTTCATCCATTCATTTCAAGTCTCATGGACAGTGCCAAGTGCGTGCCAGACTTTCGAGTGGGGAGCGGGCCTTCTCAGCCAGAATGGCGGAAGTGAAAAAGACAGACCGTGTAGATGAGGTAGCAGAGCAACTTGGCATTCCTTGAATCAGGGAACGTACATGGTAGAGATACTTTGGGAAACTGGCAGTTTTCCAGTAAAGCTAAACTTATGCCAACCCGGTCTCCCAGGAATTCCAGTCCCAAGCTGTCAACGCCCAACCGAAGAAAAATGTGTGCTGTCTAGTTTTTTTGTCTGTTCGACACAAACTAGGGTCATTTGGGATGAGGGAACCTTGATTGAGAAAATGCCTCCTTTATGCTGCCCTGGAGGTAAGTTTGTGGGGCATATTCTTGCTAAATAATTGATGTGGGAGAGCCCAGACCACTGTGGGCAGCGGCCACCCCTGAGCAGATGGGTCCTGGGTACTCTAGGAAAGCAGGCTGAGCAAGCCTTGGGGAACGAGCCAGGGTAAGTAGCGTTACTTCCTGGCCTCTGCTTCAGTTCCTTCCTCCAGGTTCCTGCTTTGAGTTCCTGCCCTGACTTCCCTTCATGATGAACTGGCTGTAACTGTAAGCTGAAATAAAGCCTTTCCTCCCTAAATTGCTTTTGATTGTTTGATTTATCAAAGCAATAGAAATCGCAACAGGACAAAATGCTCCTGTATGAACACCAAGACCCAGACACTGGAAAGTTTGTAGCCCTTTTCACAATCTGGGAGCAACTCCTCAACAGAATGGAATGAAAAACCAGTTATAACCTGCTTACACCGTGGTCACGGACACAACAACCAGAATGACAGAGCCCTGCTATGCCCAACAGTGGGGATGCCTTAAGTAAAAGAAGCCAGATGTGACAGGGTGCAGTAGCTAATTCTACCTTCTAACTTCAGACAGGACCCTGGTTTAGCTCCCACGTCGCACTGTATAAACATAGCTCCAGGGAATTCAACACCCTGGTCTGGCTTCCCCAAGCAGCTGCGCTCAGATGCACATGTGCACCCAACACACCCAACATACACATAAATGAGAAGGAACGAAGATAAGTGCATCTCGGTTGATTTGATTTGACGCTGACCCATCAATAGATAGGGCATGCCTGCTGTGCTGGGCGTCTGAGGGCCATCTGCATACTTGTGTGGTCATGCCCACCATGTCCGACAGCATTTCTGGAACCAAACTGTCAGCGATAAAATCTCAGCTCTGTCACACCCACCTGCATGACCTTGGGCAAGTCTGTAACACGGAACGTGTACGTATACATAGCATCTAGGGCAGTGTCTGGCACATGGTGAATACCCAATAAATACTGCTGGGTAGCGTGTGGCTGTGGCCACTGCGGACGGTCTGGCTTCCAATGTACCTGGAGTGCACTCCGGGAGCGAATGCCTTGTTCTGATGGCTTGCTCACGCTACCGTCCTCACACAGGCCTTTTCAGGCCTTTTGCTCCCAAACTCCATTATCTGACGCCTGAAACCTAATGTGGGTCCTCTCTGTGCCAGAGCCCAAGGCAGAGTAGGTGCTTGGCACCAATTGTAGAGACAAGTGTGTGCAGGGCTTTCCATATCTCCCCCAGGGCGACGAGCTGCTGTTTGGGTGTGACCTGTCTGAAACCTGTGCTCACCTGTGTGAGAGGCTGCATTCCACTGCCTAGATACACACAAGTAAGTGTGTGTGTTTGTGTGTGTGTGTGTGTGTGTGTGTGTGAGAGAGAGAGAGAGAGAGAGAGAGAGAGAGAGAGAGAGAGAGAGTGTCTAGGTCCAGATGCCTAAACACACACACGTGTCTGTGTGTAAGAGGGAGAGTGTGTGTCTGGGTCCAGATGTGTGGGTGTGTCTGGGTCCAGATGTGTGGGTGTGTCTGGGTCCAGATGCCTAAGCACACATGCATGTATGTGTGAATCTGGGTCGGGATGCCTAAACATTGTGTGTGTGTGTGTGTGTGTGTGTGTGTGTGTGTGTGTGTGTGAGTGTAGGGGGTCTATAACAGTAAGGTGAGGGGAAGACCTGTCTCACTCCCGATGAGAGTGACAGAGAAGGTAGACGGCATCTAAGACAAGAAGCTAGGCCGGGGGAGGGGGGAGGCATGCCTTACGTGTGCCCTAATCTAGACAGGCCTACCCTGCCTTCTCTCTCTGTCTTGGCCCAGGGGGAGGACCTGCCTTGGTTCCTCTCCTGCCGGCCCTGCAGCTTTCCCAGCTTCCTCTCAAAGCAGCCCTTTTTGTCAAGCTCGGCCTCAGGTCAGAGCCTGAGTCTCCTCCTCCCAGCAAGACACAAGAGCTGCCTTAAAGGCCCAAGTGCCCATTCGCTGTGCCAACACCTGCCTTCCCACTCTGGCCCCTTCCCAGTCTAAGCCTCACAAGCGGGTTACTGAGCTCAGAGCCAAGGAATCTTGCCTGAAAGTAGTGGTGGGAAGGAAATGTTTGGGGTCTGAGCTATGATTGGCCGAGCCAGAGCCACGCCCCTATCCCTTTCCCCCCTTTTTTCCCCCTCCCCTCCTCCCCTCCTTTCCTCCTGTAGGGGTGTGTTGAGGGAAACCGGGATCGGCCAGGGGCCAACATGAGCCAGAGGGAGGGAAGTTTGGGTAAGGGGCTGAGCTACTGGATCCTGGGTCCCTAACGAGAATACGAGTGAGGGGGGTCGAAAGCCTGGGTTTGGATTCCTGTCAACACCGAGTCTGGGAGGGGAAAGACCTGGGCGGGGGAGGGGTCGGGGGAGGGAGGAGACGCCGGTGTCAGGTAACCGGCGGGTGAGTTGGGAGAAAGGGCAGGAGCAAGGGTTTAGAGGAGGCCTGGAGTTGAAGCTTCAGGGTCTTGGGTTCAGGGGTTAGAGCACCGACTATATGGGTGAGTACACCCTGAAGAAGGGCTGGGGTCGGGCTGGGGCCGGATAACAATGCCTATCAGAGTATTAGGAGAGAATCAAAGCTGGAGGATTAGAGGGAGAAGCTAGTTAAGGAAGCTTCATAACTCCTACGGAGGATCTATGAGTGACAGGAAGAGGGCAAAGTACGGGCTTCTGAGATCTTGGCCCGCTGTGGAAACTCAGACGGAAGGGATTGTCGGGTCGGGACTACATTCCCCAGCATGCATTAGAATTCATGCGGTGTGCACCTTGGGAAATGTAGTCGTCTTCATTTGGCACCGCTCTCAGGTTTGTGCCAGCGACAGGTCAGACTGTCGTTGAGTTGATACATTGATGCTGTTGAGCCTAGCACCTCACCTGGAAGCATCAGGAAGAGAATAGGTCTTCGGTTTCTCTATCTGTAGAACAGGCCGGGAAAACGTGTTTCAAGGTGAAGTTCTGTGCTTCAGTGATGCTGACTGAATTCAACCAACAGTTGGAGAAATCCAAAGATATATGAACTTTGTCCTTAAAGTCTCAGGATAGCATTGGTGGTATAGGATAAGCATAGCTGCCTTCTAAGGAGTTTCGGAATAAGGCAGATTCACATGGATAAAAAGAAGTATGAACAAATTACCTAAAGTGGAAGAAGAAACTGATTTGAGGTAGTGAGAACCTGAAGGAGGCAGATTATGAATTTGTTCTTAATAGCATTTCTGCAGTGATTTGGAGACAGAAGAGACAATTTCACATAGAGAAACTACTTGGGGCCTGGTTTTCCCTCCATTGGGATGGGACATAGTCCTCCTAGCTTGAATGTTAGCCTTCAGAGCAGAACCTCTGGGTTTGGAAAGAGCCAGTTTAGGAAAGATAATCTAGGAGTAGGATTGGGTTGCGCTCATAACCCCTCACCCCCCCTCGTTCCCACCAGAAGATTCCCAGGATGACTCCCCAATCTCCTTCCTTCCCCATTTGGAGGCCAAGATCCGCCAAACACACAACCTTGCACGCCTCCTCACCAAATACTCAGAACAACTGCTGGAGGAATACGTGAGTAGGGACTGGGGTGTGGGGTGGGGAGCACACACCTCCGGCTGCTGGAGGAACATCTGAGTAGGGACTGGGGTGTGGGGTGGGGAGCACACACCTCCGGCTGCTGGAGGAACACGTGAGTAGGGACTGGGGTGTGGGGTGGGGAGCACACACCTCCAGCTGCTGGAGGGACATGTGAGTAGGGACTGGGGTGGGGAGCACACACCTCCGGCTGCTGGAGGAACACGTGAGTAGGGACTGGGGTGTGGGGTGGGGAGCATGCCCCACAGAGGTCTTCATTCATTTCTTCCACCTCATCCCCAGCAGTGGCAATCAGAGTTTCTGAGGGGAGCATTAACTATCTTCGGGCCACACAGTAAAGTGGAGGACCCCACCAGTGGCCAGTGATACTGAGCCTTCTGGAGGCTCCATCCTTGGTGCCGGAAATCAGAACCAGTGTGAGGAACCAGAGGGAACTCTGGGAGTCAGGAAACCTAGATCTGGGCTCAGTTTGCTCTTGAGGTCTCAACTCTTTGCACTGTCAAATGGAGCAGCTGAACAGTGTGAACTGTGACCATTTCCACCTGGGACATTTAGAAAAGCCAAGAAGGGGTTTCAGTCGGGGCAAAAGTTCTACCCATGAGGGACTTTCCAGAGCAAAGTGGCCCGCCAGCAGTCTTATCCTGGCCACATAAAAAAGACTCTTCTAGATTACCAGGTGTAGCGGGAAAGGCTGGTGTTTTGATTCAGACTGTAGGGTTGCTAACTGAAAACCTTGGGATATAACGGTAAACCTTAAAGAGGAATCTAACACTGGCAGTAGGAGGATTCAGCCAGCTTTGTAGGCAGACCAAACTCCATCTCTGCTGCTTCCCAGGGAGCCTACTGCCAATCATGGCTTGTGCTCCACCCATTTTTAAATTATATTCATTTATTTTGTGTGCATGTGTGTGGGCACCCAAGTGTCATGGCGTGTATATGAAAGTCAGACAACTGAGGGACTTGGTTTTCTCTTTTACTATGTGGATCCCGGGATCAAACTCAGGTTGTCAGACTGGCAACCATCTCAGTGGGCCGCGGTTTTCTTATTTACAAAGCCATCTTAGAAAGACACTGTATTCAAAGCAGCAACCACAAGGCCTGCATCTGAGGCAAGATATTTGCAAAGAATAAATATTATTGTTAGAGCATTTGACAAATTACAAATCCCCTTTGTCTTTCATTTGGTGGCAATCGAGTAGGGAAGAGGAAGTGAATTTGACTTGGTCCCTGCACTGTTTCTGTGGTCCTCGAGATAGAAAGACAGAACAGAGAGCATTCTTTACTCTCACAGACGAGAAGGCTGAAGCCAAAAGAAGGCAATGGTCTTGCTAGTAAGTAGCCGATAGGAGTTAAACCTAAGGCTGGGATTGGAGATACAGTTTAACTGGTAAAGGGGCTTGACAGGCAATTGGGTGACCAGAGTTTGATCCCCAGAACCAACATAAAGGTGGCAGAAAACTGCCTCTATGAAGTCGTCTTTGACTGCCACCTGTGCAGCGTGGTGCCGTCCTCCCAGCACGCCATGGGCACACGCCAGCCCTTGGGAGGCAGAGGCGGGTTGATCTCTGTGAATTTGAAGCCAGCCTAGCCAGCAAAAGCTATCGTGAGACCCTGTCTCAAAATAAACAAGGAAAGCTAGGTGTGGTGGTACACACCTTTAATCCCAGCACTTGAGAGGCTGGCAGATCTCTGTGAGTTCAAGGCCAGCCTGGTCAACAGAGTGAGTTCCGGGATACTACATAGTGAGACTCTTTTCTCAAAAGTATTCCCCGAAAAAAAGTAATTTTAAAAAAATATTTATTGAGTTCTTCCTGGGTTCTAGCGCTTAACTCTTATTAGCTGTTAGAGAAACAAAGACCGTGTAATTTCTTAGTTTAATCTCAAACACAATAGGATCAATCATTTGCAAGAAACTAAGGCCTCAGGAGAGGGGAGGAGGGCTGTTAGGAGTGGACGAGCCCCCAACAAGGTCCCAGGAGCCCGGCTGACCGGTGGCCATATCTCCACAGGTACAGCAGCAGGGAGACCCCTTTGGGCTGCCGGGCTTCTCACCACCACGGATTTCCCTGGCCGGCCTGAGCGGCCCGGCGCCGAGCCACGCGGGGCTACCGCTGTCCGAGCGGCTGCGTCTGGACGCGGCCGCCTTGGGTGCGCTCCCCGCGCTGTTGGATGCTGTGCGCCGCCACCAGGCGGAACTGAACCCGCGCGCCCCGCGCCTGCTGCGGAGCCTGGAGGACGCGGCGCGCCAGGCTCGCGCCCTGGGAGCCGCGCTGGAGACGGTGTTGGCCGCTCTGGGCGCAGCAGCCCGCGGGCCCGGATCTGAGCCCGCCGCCACCACCCCCCTTTCCACCGCCAACGGCGCTCCGGGCGTCTTCTCAGCCAAGCTGCTGGGGCTCCACGTGTGCGGCCTCTATGGCGAGTGGGTGAGCCGCACCGAGGGCGACCTGAGCCAGCTGGTGCCTGGAGGCGTCGCTTGAGAGTTAGTACTCGTTCTTGCAAGCTTACTCTGTCCCACCTCTTTGGCTTCCAATTCTTTCTCTCCATCTGTGTCACTGTGTTCTTGCCCTGTCCCAGTCTTTCTGCAGTATTGTGGTCTCTTTCTCTTTGGATCTTGTATCCTCAGGGAGCTTCGTGCCTACCAGTTTCTCTTTTTTTTTTACTCTTTTTCTCCCGTATTTTTTTTTTTTCTTCAGGAGGTTTCTGTTTCTCGTTCTATGTCTCTTGCTCTTTGTTTGTTTGTTTGTTTTTGAAACAGGGTCTTACTAGGTAGCCGTGGATGTCCTGAAGAAGCTCGCTATGTAGACCAGTTGACTTAGAACTCAGAGATCCACCTGCCTCTGACTCCCAGTTTCTCCATCTGTCTCCCCATGGTCCATATGACTATGTGTAACACGGAAGTGACACTTTCTATCCCTTTAGTTCCTTTGTCCTTTCCTAACCAGAAGTGCAAGACCACCTACCCTCAGGACCATCTATCTCCCAGGTGCCTCTCTCCTCCCACCAGATCCTTTAGAGCCTTACTCCTCCCCCCTTCAATGCCCTTCCTTTTCTTACCTCCACATCCCGTTCCCAGGGGCCCCCAGCCCTAGCCTGGTCTATGGAGAGGGAAAGTCAAAAGCCTCTTAAGAGAGTTTTATTTGAGAATAAATTAATATTTGTAAATAAATGTTTAACAATAAAACCACAGTTTAATGAAAGACAGTTGTTGCATATGGGGAGTGAGAGCTGAAGAGAATAGGATCTCTAGTGTACAGGAGGTGGGTTCCACCCGCCCACAGAGGCACAGTACAAATGCATCCACGAAGGGCCCAGGCCAGGGATACCACTTGTCAGTCCTGACCACGAAGTAGGTGTCCTCAGCAGGAAGAGCCCTGGTGACTGTGGCTGGGCGTTGGGCCTCCATCCACTGGACAATTCAACAGAAGCCGTCAATGGAGAGGTAGAGTGGGGACCAGAACTCTAGCAAAAAGAGGCCTGTGTTCAGAAAGGTCATGTTCTCACCTGGGAGTTGAGGTAGACAGAGACAGGAAGCAAGCCCCAGGACTTCCTCAAATACAGGAAGAGCAAAGTCAGGGCAGGGCAAGCCCAGGGGGGAGACCAGCTGTCCTCTCCCTAGGGTGGGAAGTGAAGCCTCTTCAGAAGGGCTCTTCTTTCCAACCAGACAGTAGGACTATCAACACTCTGTTGCTCCATCAGATGGGTCCATGGAGTCCTGCCCAGATCGGGAAGGGAGTCGCTCGCTAGGACCCGGCAGGAAGACCCAAGCCATAAGGAGTGGAGGCTTGACTTCCAGAAAATAGTTCAAATGCTTGGCTCAGGTCCTGACTGCTAAGTGAGATGTGATGTGTTCTCTGAGAGTCCTCTGATAGAAAAGCCTTGGGACTTCTGACAGAAGGCCGACCTTCTATGCTGGGTACTTGGCCTTGAGTAGAGCCAAGTCCCTCACAGCCCGATCCGTCCAGTGACCATATTCCCGGGTCACTATGTAGCCTCGACATTTCCTCTCAAAGGCCGAGGCCCCAAAAGGGACAAGTCCCAGAGTATCCTCTTCTGGGGGGATGGGCAACCCCAGGGCAGTCATGATAGCAGCCATGTTGCCCAGTAGGCCTTGGGCCCTGAGTCTTGCTGCTCCTAGCTGGGCCAGCAGAATGGGACTGCCAGGATTTAGATCACTCTGGTCGTCCCCCACAAGCTGGAGGTGCTGGGTCAAGGCCAGGAAGGCTCCCTGGGCTCGCCTCAGCCGCTCTGCATCCTCCATAGCGTGCCAAATCTTAAAGGAGACTGCAGCCGGTGGCAGACTACTGAGCTGGAGTTCCGGGGCTGAAAAGCCAGGGTCACTGAAGGGGCTGCCCTGGTACTGGAGCTGCATGAGAGACAAACAAATAGAAGGGAAGTCACTGAAGGAGTTTCTCGGGGGACATCTTCCCTCTGAGGCTGGCATTTCCCCCAGAGAAGCCACCATCCACCGCCCTTTGGGAGCTGCAAGGATAAGCAAGCGCACTGCGGGCTCCATTACGTCCTCTGTGCACCAACGGTGCCTCACTGAACCGCAAGAAGCCATAGCTCCACATGGCAGGACTGTACAGTGGTAGGAAATAATACACATAAGTGTCTGACCTGCAATAAGGGGAGAACCACATACTGATATAGGGATACCGGTGAGCACTATGACTGTATGTTCAGCCCGAGCACATTATTAAAATGTAAAAGCTGATGTTTCTCTTTCTTTCGTCTTCTTCTTTTTTTTTCTTTGTGGGATTTGTTTGTTTGTTTGTTTGTTTTTTGAGACAGGGTTTCTCTGTAGCTTTGGAGTCTGTCCTGGAACTCACTCTGTAGACCAGGCTGGCCTCGAACTCACAGAGATCCGCCTGCCTCTGCCTCCCAAATGCTGCTATTAAATGCTTGCGCCACCACTGCCTGGCTCTTTATTTTTTAAATAGTATTTCATTGTCTAGCTGTGTGTAGGCTGGCCTCAAACTCACAGAGTTCTACCTGCCTCTCTTCCCCTGTTGCTGGTCTGGAAGATATGAGCCAACGCGCCCAACCTAGAGCCTGGATTTTGTAATCACATTGATGTAAAGGAAAACCGCAGTGGGAGAGTTGTGAACTCCAGGGTCAGGGCCAGACAGTTGTATGAGTTAGGAAGGGACAGGCTCAGATGAGGCCAACGGGATCCCTGTCCCTGCTGCTGAGAACGGAAACCAGCACACATGGGTCAAGCAAACCAACATCCAAGACTCAGAAAGCAAGCTGCCAGTTCTACGTCTAGACAGTAAGTGTGCAGGTGGGAGCTTCTAGTAAAGAGTTCCGCAGACCTGGTCCCAGAAGCTGGCTTTGCGCTCACTAGCTCAGTGCTTGAAGGCATATTACCTACCTCTCTACAGCTCCATCTTCTCACCTGCAAAACGGATTCTAGCTCCACCTCTCAGAGAAGTTTGAAGAGTCCAGAAACCAATGGGATGGAGCAAACCCAGGGCAAGAGGTGGCTCCAGGACAGCACACGTGAAGTGAACACGGGTTCAATTCCCGGCACCCACATGGCAGCCTACAACTTCCCTTGGCCCCAGTTTCAGGAGATCTGATGCCCTCTTTTGGTTTCCTCAGGCTCACGGGGGGGGGGGTCTCCTGGACCTGCTCTGTTTGCCCTGTCCAGGCCAGCACCTCCTCCCCCAGGCCCCTGCCTGTGCCCAGTGTCACTCACATAGGTCTGCAGCAGTGTTGATGTGTTCTTCTGCATGTAGAGAGCCAGGCTATATGCTTGACTGATGGGCTCTGATGGGGAGATGGGGGCTGCAGGACTGAGGGGTGGCAACAGGCTCAGGAGGCAGAGGGGAGCTGGTACAGAACACAAGAGAGTCCACATTAAGTCCCTGGTCCCCTCATCAGGCATTCATTCCAACAGTGTCTTCGAGGAGGACAGCCTTTGTGGACTGATGTCTTGTCTATTCAAGTCAAAGCAAAGTTACCTAGTTGGCAGATTGTTTCATGCCCAGAACTTACCTTTAAGACAAGGTCTCACTGTATAACCCTGGCTGTTCTAGAGTTCACTATGTAGACCAGGCTGGCTTCAAACTCATAGAAATCCACCTGCCTCCTCTTCCCGAGTGTTGGGATTATAGGCCTGTACCACCATATGCAGTTGTGGGAGTGTTTCTTATCTGAATGCTCGTTAGAAATGTTCCCTTTATAAAAACTCATCCAGGCCAGGCGGTGGTGGCGCAAGCCTTTAACCTTAGCACTTGGGAGGCAGAGGCAGGCGGATCTCTGTGAGTTCGAGGCCAGCCTTGTCTACAAGAGCTAGTTCCAGAACAGGCTCCAAAGCTACAGAGAAACCCTGTCTTGGAAAAAAAAAATCCAGCTGTACTAGGCCACCTACAAGTATAATATGTATCTTTCTGTACATTCATTATTTTTAGTAAAATTTTTGAAACAGTCCAGAGAGATGCCTCAGCAGTTAAGAGCACTGGCTGCTCTCCCAAAAGACCCAAGTTCAAGTCCCAGCACCCACATGGTGGCCTACAGCTTTCCTTGCTTCAGTTCCAGGAGATCCAATGCCTTCTTTTTGACTTCCTCGAGCACTAAAAACAATAAAATTAAAAACAACAGCAACAACAAACTTTGAAAAAAAAAATCAAAAGATGTCCCCAGAATCTAACTGCCTCACTCCTTACTGCCTGTAGCGTCTCGGGTTGAGCCCTGTCACCTCCCCTCTCCTCTGGTCTCTGGTCCCACCTGATGGCCTCCTGTGCAGTCTTTCCCACCCAAGCATGTCCCTCTACTATTCCAGCATCCCCATGGTCCCTCCCATCCAAGCATGTCCCTCTACTATTCTAGCATCCCCATGGTTCCCTCCTCATCCAGTGTAGACAGAAGTCCCCAGGTGGACTGCAAAGACTCTGTTCCCTCAGCATTTTCTCTCTTTATGTTCGCCCACATTTCCTCCTTCATGACCTCATCCTTGCATGAAGGAGGACCACAGGAACCCACAAAAACATTTCCAAGGCTGTGTCCTTCCTTTTCTTTGGGTCTCAGCTCAGCAAAGCCTGGCCCCCATATCAAAAGTTGGTCTCAGCAGGTAAAAGAACTTCCAAGCAAGGCTGGCAAGCTGAGTTTGATCCTCAGAACACACAGTGGAAAGGAGAGAAACAAGTTCTGAAATTCCTCCTCTGGCCTCTTCATATCTGCACACACATCATACATGGCTCACACAACAGTAATACAGTATTAGAAAACAATGTCCCTCTCCTGATTTATCATCTTTAGAGACCATGTTGCCTACAATTATGTGTTTGTTTTGTTTTAAAACAACTTTATTTTATGTGCATTGGTGTGAAGGTGTCAGATCCCCTGGAACTGGAATTACAGACAGTTGTGAGCTGACATGTGGGTGCTGGGAATTGAACCTGGGTCCTCTGGAAGAGCAACCAATGCTCTTAATCACTGAGCCATCTCTCCAGCCCGTTTTGTTTTCGTTTTTGTTTGTTTGTTTGTTTGTTTTTCAAGACAGAATTTCTCTATGTAGCCTTGGAACTGGAACTCCGGTTCCTGTCCTGGAACTCTGTCTGTATACCAAGCTAGCCTCAAACTCACCAAGATCCCCCTACCCCTGCCTCCCGAGGTCTGGGATTAAAGGTGTGTGCCACTACTGCCTGGTTTTATTTATTTATGTATTCATTCATTTGGTTATTTGTTATATTTACAATTTGTTGCTATAGCTCCCTAATGTCACCCAGGAAAGAGAACCCTTACGTGGTTCATTGCTGCCTCCCATACATTATTTGTTGAATGAATGTAGCAACAGTTTTATTTCCAGGTTCTCGCTCTCTCCCTTTCTCTCTCTATTGAGTTCTATAGCGAGTATTTATTTATTTAATATCTTGACTGCCAGACAAAGGAAGGGTTTCATTGTAACATGCATGCATTGCGCACGTGCACACACATGCACACACACACACTTTATTCTTACCCTCTCCTATCCTTCTCCCCCTTTTTAAGATTTCTTCCCCCAGAAAGTACCCCCTCTGTTTCCATGTCACATGTCACATGTCCATTGCCCCCCCTTGTCCCCTCTCACAGTTCCCGTTTTACATTTATGTCCTGCGCATGCATATAAACAGGTTCACATGCAATATTTGTCTGAATCTGGCTTATTTTGCCTAACACCATGATCTTGCTTCTCTTCATTTTGCTTGAAAATGTTATAATTTCACTCCTCTATAGCTGAATGAAATTTCATTGTGTGTAAGTATCCCATTTCCTTTTTTCCATTCGTACGTTGATGGGCAGCTACACGAGTTCCAGGCCCTGGCCATTGTGACTAGTCCTGCAGTATGATGTGCAGCTATCTCTGCGGTATTCCAGCCTTCTGGTTCATTTGAGACAGGGTCTCTGTGCAGAACCACACCCAGTCTCTGCGGGGCTAGAGACAACCCCAAAGCTACGTGCATGCAGTATGAATATTCTCCCAACTGAGCCTGGCAGCCCAAGCCCCAGCATGCCTTCCATGCTTGGTTTTCACATGCAGTCTCACTAAATGTTCAGGCTGGCCCCGAGCTTTCTTTCCATCCTCCTGCTTCAGTCTCCTGAGTGTAGGCATCTGTGCTGATTGTTTTCCATTGAATGCGTGCTGACAATCGTCCTCCCAAATCCCTGATGGAGCTTGTGCTCCCCTCAACAGTGTGCGAGGCTCACCCACCCGGTAGGAGGAAGGTAAGTGCACATGGTCCCCTTAGTTCATGTAGGTCCCTAAACTCAGAACCAGTTGGGAGAGAACTGAAAGTAAGGGGGCAGGTGCAGTGTAAGCTGTCAATCTCAACACTGGGGTCGGGCAGAGGGGGACAGATCTCTGAGTGTT